TCCCAAAGTGCTGGGATTAATAGGCATGAGCCACCAAACCCAGCCATCTTCTTTGGTTTCTGATTTTACTAGGCCAAACAAAACGGTCATGTAAAATGTAATCATGCCCAAAGAATGGAGGCGACGCTCCCGTCAGAGTGAGTTATAATTAGCCTGCTCTGAGGTAGGAGCAGAAAACCTTAGCTTTCCTCTAATCCCATTCCTTGCTCAATGCTACAGGGTATGTGACTGGTTTCTGTGCACAGGTCACATCCTCTTTCTACAGACACCCTCTGACCAAGCAAATCCAATTTTCCCTCCACGTTGCCGAAAAGGCTGGGCAGGCAGCCCCCCGCCCCATTGTTCCAACTGCTGGAACCTATCCCTGCCACCTCCTCCAGCACATACAAGCAAATCCACACAAGGGCCGGCTGCCACCGGGATGATCTAATGACATATTAACTGTGACTCTCTTCCTATTCCCTTGGGGAAGTGACTCTCCTTGAAAGCAAAACTTGGCCAGTCTCAACCACACAAAACCCGATTGTGTAAAAGAAAACTCCAAACACTGCAGGAAAGACAGGCCCGGTGCCAGCCCCGCTGCCTGCCCCTGTGAGGCCGCTTTCATTGCACTGTACGTGGGGCCTGGGGCTTTGACTGAAGGAAGCCAGGCAAGCTGACCCCTGATTCCGCTGTTCAACCCCAGGCAGGATGTGCTCAGGTATCTCAGAACTCCTCCCCACATTCCACCTGGGTCCATCCGTGACAGAGACTGGTTCTGAAAATGCACTTGCCATTCCCCTGTGAAAGGGCCTAAAGCGCTGGTAGGGTTGGAACCCATAGAAGTAGAATGACTAAAGGCCCAGGAAAAGAAGAACAAGCCCGAGGGCATTCCAACCAGGAGAGGGGAACAGGAGCTCTACTAGGAAGGCACCCACAGCCAGCCAGATGAGCTCAAAAGCATGCGATGAGACAAATTGGCCCTGTAGGTTCCACCCACACCCTCTCCCACTCCAAAGCAGCTCTCCACTGTCTCTCCCTCTCCTTCCCGCATCCCCACGCCGCGGTTGCCATGACCATTCCAATGGCTCTGGCCCATCTCCTGCCAGCTTCCTCCTCTTCGAAACCATCCCCACCCCAATGCTGCAGTCAACATTCTTGAATCCACCTCCTGCCTCCAGAACTCAGTTGATCCAAGCACTATCTAGGTAAGCATGGTTTCTCCGATTCTCCTGCAGACAGACAGCAGCCTGAGGGCAGGAAGAGCTTCTCATTCAACTCGCCTCTTCAGCACCTTAGGTTTATGGAAATAAACTGGATGTTCCAGAGGAAGAGGTGGTAGGGGAACAGCACTAGAGCAGCAGTGAGGTGAGCAGAGTTCAAGGCCATCTTGAAGCAGGCATGTCCTTCCAGACAGCCACTGAGGCTCTATCCTACCTTCCACCGCTGCCTCAGGCTCCCCAAAGGCACGGGGCTCTATCCCCTCCAAGCCTTTGCACAGGCTGTTCCATGGAGCTGCACAATCTCCCGCCACCGCACACTGACAGAGGGTGCCCAACTGTCTCAGTTTTAACACTGCAAGTCCCACATCCCAGGACCCTCTCAGTCCCAGGCAACCCAGGAGGGTTGTTCCTTATAGATAACTCCAATGCATCCTTCAGGGCTGCCTCTTCAAGCGTTCCCTGAGCCCTTAAGCCTGAATCAGCTGTCCCTCCTCTGCGCCACCTCACTCTTGCCTGCAATGTTACTTTGTGTTTTAGTGGCTCGATTACCTCCCTGCCTCCCTGCCTAATGGCAGTGACTCAACTTTGTCAAGCTGGACTCGGTATTAATTAACAAGAGGAAGTGACAGGGCCCCTGCCAGCTGGCATTCAGGCCAGTGGGTATGTCAGACAGGTTCACCAATGCCCATTGGTTCAAACACTGAAGTATTTACTAGATGCCAGGCTTATGACAGGGCTGAGACCAGACAGGAGACTGTCCCAGCCTGCCTGCAAGGGGCTTTGCCTGCAAACCAACACACCAAGCAGCATGGGTTACATGCTGGGCCAAGGCTAAGGCCAAGGGTTGGCAAACTTTTTCTGTAAAGGGCCAGATAGTAAATATTTTGGGCTTTTCCCGCCACAGGGTCTCTGTCCCAAATACGCAACTCTAGCTGTAGTGGGACAGAGGCCCAAGACGTTCTGTAAATTACCAATGTATTCCAATAAAACTTTACTTATGAACACTGATGCTTGAATTTAATATACTTTTCACACGTCATGATTTTTTTTTTTCAACCATTTAAAAATGTAAAATTCCACCATGCGCAGTGGCTCATGCCGGTAGTCCCAGCACTTTGGGAGGCCAGGAGCTCAAGACCAACCAGTCTGGCCAACATGGCGAAACCCCATCTCTACTAGAACTACAACAATTAGCCGGGTGTGGTGGTGCACGCCTGTAATCCCATCTACTCGGGAGGCTGAGGCACAAGAATTGCTTGAACCCGGGAGGTATAGGTTGCAGTGAGCCGTGATTGCATCACTGCACTCCAGCCAGAGAGACAGAGTGAGACTCTGTCTCAAAAACAATAATAGTAATAAATAAAACATTTAACAGCATTTTTAGTTCGCAAGACATGTGAAAAGAGGAGGCCTGTAGTTTGCTGACCCTGTCCTAGACCAACGCTGGGGCTGAGGGCAGGAAGAGAGGGAAAGCTGAAGGGTAAGGCGGTCGGGGGAGGGAACAGGAGCATGTGGCAGTAAACAGGTCCCAATGTTTTGCACCTTCACTATGAGCCAAGTGCAGTGTTAAGGCAGTTGTTTACTTACTGAATCCACACAACAGGCAGGAATGATTCACTCCTTTTTACAAAATAGTACAAGTCCAGAAAAGTTAACAGAAGTGCTCCAGGCAGCTCAGCTGGGAAGCGGTGGAGCCAGAAATTCGACCTAAGCCTGTCCCAGACCAATGCAGCTCACACCAGACCACTGACCTATCTCTAGTTAGACTCCAAGACTGAACAGGAAGGGCCCTTAGGAATGAAGTGATCTTGGCCTGATTTCCCAGGGGAGGGAGCCGAGGTGAGGGAAGGCCCATGGATCCTCAGACCTCCTCAGCTTAGACCTCACATCCTCTAGAAGCCTCCCCGGGCCACTCAGCACCTTGCACCTCCTCACGGCTCCCCAGGGGTCAGTGATCCTCTGGGACATTTGCTCACCGCCTGTTTCCCAGCAGACTTTATCTGGGTCTGGGCTGCAGCCCAGCACTGCAGGGGGGGCTGATGTACAACACGTGCTCAATTGACATCCCAGAGAACAAGTGAGATGGATGTCCACTGCCTGTCACTCAAGACAATTGGTTCTTGGAGCACTTATGTGTCAGGCACTGGGCCAGATACTGAGGATACCGTTGTCAGGACCACACAGCTGTAGCCCTCCAGTAGCTTGGTCTGGCCCAGTGGTTCTCAAAGTATGGCCCCCAAACACCAGGCATGGTGGTGCAGGCCTGTAGTCCCAGCTACCCAAGGAGGCTGATGCAGGAGAATTGCTTGAGCTCAAGGCCAGCCTGGGCAACACAGTGAGTCCCCTATCTCAAATAAATAAAACATTTAATAAGTCGAAAGTATGGTCCCCAGACCAGTAGCATCAGCATCACCTGGGAGCTGGTTAGAAATGCAAATTTCCAGCCCCACCTGGACCTCATAACTCAGAAACCCTGAAGGTGGGGCCCCAGCCATCCCAGCTTTAGCAAGCCCTCCAGGAGAGACTGATGCACGATCAAGCTTCAGCATCAATGGTTTAAGAGAGGTAGTAGGCAGGGCGCAGCGGCTCACGTCTGTAATCCCAGCACTTTGGGAAGCCGAGATGGGCAGATCACTTGAGGCCAGGAGTTCGAGACCAGCCTGGCGAACATGGCAAAACCCAGTCTCTGCTAAAAAATACAAAATTAGCCGGGTGTGGTGGCACATGCCTGTAATTCCAGCTACTCGGAAGGCTGAGGCAGGAGAATCGCTTGAATACGGGAGGTGGAGGCTGCAGTGAGCCGAGGTCGTGCCACTGCACCCCAGCCGGGGCAACAGAGTGAGGCTCTGTCTCAAAAAAAAAAAAAAAAAAAAAAAAGAGGCAAACATGAGTGAGCTGCAGCCCAAGACAGTTCAACGAGGAAGTACAGGAAGGTCTCCCGTTCCTAGGGGTTAGGGAGGACTTCCCTGAGAAAGGTACATTTGAATTGAGACGTTAAGTATGAGCAGAAGTTTCCCAGGACAGTATTTCCCAAAACTTGATGGCGAACAAGGAAATCAACCGGGGGAGGGGGTTTGTGACAAATGCAGGTGCCTGGGCGCCTCCCCAGAAGATTCCCACTAGAGGTGGGAGAGTCCCAGGAATCTGTATTTGTTGAAGGGACTGCTTATCATCAGATCAACTTCACCGAGGAGGGACCAGGAGGGACCGGAGCAAGGGTACCCAAGCGGGGACCCGCAGGGGCAGAGGCCCGGAGGAGAGGCAGACCCGCCCCGCCCCCGCCCCCGTCGAGTGTCAAGACCGGAATCGAATCCGGCCTCGGCAACTTCCCGGCGGACAGCAGGGAAGAGGACGCCCGGTGAGGCTCGGGCATTACCTGGGACTAGGCAGGGCCGCCCGCGCGGCACCCGCTCCAGGCCGCGGACCGAGAAGCCCCCGCTCGGGTCCCGCAGCCGCGCCTCGCCGCGGTCCGCCATCACTACCCTGCCCTGCATCCACACGGCCGCCAGGTCCAGCGGCCCGCGGCCCGCCGCCGCTCGCGACAGCCGCCACGCGCCCGGGCCGCCCTCCGCGTCGCGCCGCAGCTGCTCCGCCAGCACCTTGAGTGGCGGCGACCTAGGCAGCCGCACCCCCGCGGGGCCGGCTGAGAACGAGTCCGCAGCCGCCGCCATTCCACCTAGCCGCCGCTTTCCCGCCAACTTTGAGAAGTAGCGGGGCCCGGCCCGCAGCCACCAATCAGGAGCGTGCTGGCAGAGCCGGCCAATGGTCGACGTCAGAAGGCGGGACCGCCGGGCGAACCGACCCTCTGGATCAGCGAGGAGTACGCATGCGTAGATAAAAGTAAATAAACGCTCTCATGAATGAATGGAGAAAATGGGTTAAATGAGAATAAATAATGGAACGCAGAGAGGTAAAGAACTTCCTCTTTCAACGCATCTCAAAATTTGGCGTGCATGCAGATCACCTGCAGAGTATGATTATTCATCTTTACATGGCCTTGTTTTGAGGTTAGTAAATACTGAAACGAATTAAGAGTCTGTGTTTATTGGGAGTGATCAATAATCCAGTCAGGAGATAAAGCTGGGGAGGCAGATGGGGAGAGCTGGCAAACTTGCTCTTTCTTTTATTATTATTTTTATTTATATTTTAATAGCATCAAATAATTTTAAGGTTAATAAAATATATTGCTATTTTCACAAAAGAAATGCACATTTATTATAAAAAAAAAAAAGAAAAGGAAAAATGTAGAATAAGAAAATAATTGTAAAAGCGGCTTATAGATATCCACTGTTAATTTTGAGGTATATTAGCCTCCAGGTTTTAAAATGTGTGTGCGTGTGTGTGTGTATTTTTTTTGAGACAGGGTCTCTGTTGCCCAGGATGGAGTGCAGTGGCACAGTGACAGCTCACTACAGCGTTCACCTCCCGGGCGTAGGTGATTCTCCCACCTCAGCCTCCTGAGTAACTAGGACTACAGGCGTGCACCACCACATCCAGCTAATTTTTGTATTTTTTGTAGAGACAGGATCTTACCATGTTGCCCAAGGTGGCCTTGAACTCCTGGGATCACGCAATCCTCCCTCCTTGGCCTCCCAAGGTGCTGGGATTACAGGTGTGAACCACCACGCCTGGCCTATTACTGATACATAAATAGTGTTTTGTATATTGTTTTCACTTAATAATGAACATCTTTCAGTATCAGCAAATGTCCATCTGCTTCCTCTTGACTTACTGCATAATACTCGATTTGTCTTATCACATTTTTTTTTTTTTTTTTGAGACAGAGTCTCCCTCTGTCGCCCAGGCTGGAGTGCAGTGGTGCGATCCCGGCTCACTGCAAGCTCCGCCTCCCAGGTTCACGCCATTCTCCTGCCTCAGCCTCCTGAGTAGCTGGGACTACAGGCGCCCGCCCCCACACCTGGCTAATTTTTTGTATTTTTAGTAGAGACGGGGTTTCACCGTGTTAGCCAGGATGATCTCGATCTCCTGACCTCGTGACCCGCCTGCCTCAGCCTCCCAAAGTGCTGGGATTACAGGCGTGAGCCACCGCTCCTGGCCAAGTCTTATCACATATTAAACAAATATCCTATAGTTGGACATTAAGGCTATTTCCAATTTTTCACTTTATAAATATAACCACTGTGGACTTATTTAAAAGCTAAATCTTTCTTTTTTTTTGAGATGGAGTCTTGCTCTGTTGCCCAGGCTGGAGTGCAGTGGTGCCATCTAGGCTCACTGCAAGCTCTGCCCCCCGGGTTCATGCCATTCTCCTGCCTCAGCCTCCTGAGTAGCTGGGACTACAGGCGCCCGCCACCACGTCCGGCTAATTTTTTGTATTTTTTTTAGTAGAGACGGGGTTTCACTGTGTTAGCCAGGATGGTCTCGATCTCCTGACCTCGTGATCCACCTGTAAAAGCTAAATCTTTGTGCACATCTTTCAAATAAAATTCCCAGGAATTTCTCCCTAAAAATTGGATGTCCCCAGTCAGGAAAGTCCACAAATCCTAAATCAGGCGATCCTTAAAGTCAAGGTCAGTTCTTAAGAGAGACTTTGAATTCTCAGGGCCTCCTGCAGTACCAGGCATTCAGAGTATTCACCAAGAGCTTGATTTTTTTTTTTTTTTTTTTTTTTTTTTTGAGACGGAATCTTACTCTGTCACCCAGGCTGGAATGCAGTGGCGCGATCTCACCTCACTGCAATCTCCGCCTCCTGGGTTCAAGTGATTCTCCTGCCTCAGCCCCCTGAGTAGCTGGGACTACAGGTGCACGCCACATGCCTGGCTAATTTTTGTATTTTTTAGTAGAGACGGGGTTTCATCATATTGGCCAGGCTAGTCTCAAATTCCTGACCTCGTGATCTGCCCACCTCAGCCTCCCAAAGTGCTGGGATTACAGGCGTGATCCACCACACCCGGCCAAGAGCTTCATTTTTATAAAATTGAGCCAGGTCCTATTGTAAGAACTTTGTAGGAAGTATCCCATGTACCCCCACAGACCCTGAAAAGACTGTTCTACACAGGTGAGGAAACTGAGGCTTAAGGAAACCAGGGGACTGGCCCATAGCCTCTATGAGGTTTTGGCCTCTACACCTAATATGGTTTAGCTGTGTCTCCACCCAAATCTCTTGCTGAATTGTACTTTCCATAATCCCCACATACCATGGGAAGGACCCCATGGGAGGTAATTGAATCATGGGGGCGGATACTCCCATGCTGTTCTTGTGATAGTGAGTGAGTTCTCACAAGATCTGATGGTTTTATAAGGTGCTTTTCCCCCTTTGCTCGGCACTTCTTCTTCCTGCCGCCACATAAGACGGACATGTTTGCTTCCCTTTCTGCCATAATTGTAAGTTTCCTGAGGCCTCCCAGCCATGCGGAACTGTGAATCAATTAAACCTCTTTCCTTTATAAACTCCCCAGTCTCGGGTAGTTCTTTATAGCAGTGTGAGAGCTGAGTAATACAACACCTCAACCCTGACCTATAAAGTAACCCGGCTCCTAAGCTGAGAAGGGAGCAGGAACATTAACCAAGAGACAATCCAACCCGTTCATACCCGGTGGGTCCTCACTGACCTTCCCCCAAGGTACCTTAAGGCCAGAGAAGTGATGGGGAAGGGAGTTAGGGTGAAGGCAGAAGCTCCCAGGCTTCTTGTATGAGCCTGGGAATTCCCCATCATTGCCTTGGCCTCTAGATTGCCTACCCCACTCCCACAAGCCCAACACCTGTGGTCTTTTCAAAACAAGTCTGGGCATATCAGCACCGGGTTTATAACACCTTGATGGTGTAATCCACACATCTGGAATGTGAGCTTTCCAGGCAGAGGGAACTGCACATGGAGGGGCCAGACAGGGGAGAGAAAGCAAGAAGCATGTAGCAAACTGCCAGTAGTTGAGAGTGGCTGGGACGCAGAGTAGAAATGGAGGACTTCGGATAGATGAGTCTGGTCCTACATAACCTCATTTCTTATCCCCATTTTACAGATGATGAAGCTAAGGTTCAAACCAATGACAAGCCTGAAGCCACATGGCTAGTGAGTGGTAAGAGTCAGAACTCAAACCCAAATTCATCTGACCCCAAACTTCATGTATCTTGAACCACAGGCTCCATCTCACTGTTCACACTCTCACCCACCTCCACCCATCAAAGGTGCCTCTAGACCTTTGCTTGTGTTGTTTGTTCTCTGCCTGACATGCCTCCCTGTCAATCACTCTCAGTTGAAACCTGGCTTAGTCGTCAAGTGCCTGCTCACCAGCAAGACCTCTTCTCTTCAGGGAGCCTTCTTGAGCCCCACAACTGGAATGAACCTCTTCCCTCCAGGCCAGTTTGCCGGTGCCCCTAATCCATGGTTTCCCAACCTCAGCCCTACTGACATTGGGGCTGGATAATCTTTGTCATGGGGGCTGTCCTGTGCACTGCAGGATGTTGAGCAGTATCCCACTCTCCACCCACTAGATACCATGGCACCCTCCTCAAGTTGAAACAACCAAAATATGTCTTCAGACATTGCCACCGTCCCCTAGGGTGCTAAATCACCTCTATGGAGAACCACTGCCCTAAGCTATAATACTCACTGCCCTCTGTTTTGAACCATAAATAGTTGAGTCTGTGTCTATCTTACCAGTAAAGCCTGGGTTCTCAAACTAAGTTGTCAGCAGCAGACAGACAGGTAACCCTGGTGTAGCAGGGGTAAACTGGCTGTCTGATGTCCTGGCAAAAGGGGTCCAGCACACTCAGCCAATGGTTGTCATGCAGGACTGTGGGCCCATTGTTGCTAGATCTGATTTTTCAAGACATTTTCTTTTGTTTTTGTTTTAGATGGAGTCTCACTCTGTCACCCAGGCTGGAGTGCAATGGCACGATCTCAGCTCACTGCAACCTCCACCTCCCAGGTTCAAGTGATTCTCCTGCCTCAGCCTTCCAAGTAGCTGGGATTACAGGCGCCTGCCACCATACCCGGCCAATTTTTTGTATTTTTAGTAGAGATGGGGTTTCACCATGTTGGCCAGGCTGGTGTCGAACTCCCTACCTCAGATGATCCACCTGCCTCGGCCCCCCGAAATGCTGGGATTACAGGTGTGAGCCACCGCACCTGGCTCAAGACATTTTCATATATAATCTCCATGTTTAAAAAAAAATGCTGGCAACGAATTCAATTCTAAAACAAAGGAACAAAAACAAACCTCGTGCCCCTGAAAGTCATCCGTAGACTGATTCTGGCCCATGGGCTTCCAATCTGCAAATTCTCTCTAGAACGTGAGCTCTGCTCCAGGCACCAAGGCAGCCTGCGTGTTCACTAATATGCAGCTCCTTAAATCTCCTGCAAAACACCCAAGGGACTGTAGTGTTTCACCAGCTCCAGGAGTTGTGAAATCGGCATCTTAAATTACAGTCATGAGCAGACAACTGGGGTCTGTTGACACATGTTGGGTAAGCCTCCCCTCTAGGGAGGATTATTCCCCCTCCCCCGCACCACAATCCATCACCCTCACGCTCAGGCCTGAAGCAACCCCGTGTGCCAGCCTCCCCAAGCTCCAGCCCCCCAGTGAGATCAAATATCCTTGGAAGGGGGCTTCCTGCCACCTGCACCAGTGAGGACAAAGGTAAGGTGATAGGAATTGTAGGCCTTGGCTTTATCCTCCATCTGCCTGTTCACCAGTTCCCAGGCTGATCAGGTCAAAAATGCTTCTGGTTTCCAGAAATAAAGAACCCTACTGCACTGAGAAAAGGGGTTGTTCTGGGAGGGGCGTGGTAGCTCACGCCTGTAATCCCAGCACTTTGGGAGGCCGAGGTGGGTGGATCATCTGAGGTGAGGAGTTCGAGACCAGCCTGGCTAACATGGTGAAACCCCATCTCTACTAAAAATACAAAGATTAGCTGGGCATGATGGCGCATGCCTGTAATTCCAGCTACTTGGGAGGCTGAGGCAGGAGAATTACTTGAACCCAGGAGGTGGAGTTGCAGTGAGCTGAGATCATGCCACTGCACCCCAGCCTGGTCAACAAGAGCAAAACTCTGTCTTGAAGGAAAAAAAAAAAAAAGAAACTGGGTTGTTCTGGAAGGGTATCCATACAGTGACATCTTCGTAATAGCAAAGGCTGTTATTAGCTGAGCCCTTACTATGTGCCAAGCACCATGCCAGGCACTTCATGTGCAGAGACTCAGTTACTCCTCATGACAACCCTAAGAAGTAGATACTTTTCCTTTTTTTTTTTTTTTTTTTTTTTTTGAGACAGAGTCTCGCTCTGTCGCCCAGGATGGAGTGCAGTGGCGCGATCTTGGCTCACTGCAAGCTCCACTTCCCAGGTTCATGCCATTCTCCTGCCTCAGCCTCCCAAGTAGCTGCGACTACAGGCGCCTGCCACCACGCCCAGCTACTTTTTTAATACTTTTAGTAGAGTTGAGGTTTCACCGTGTTAGCCAGGATGGTCTCGATCTCCTGACCTCGTGATCTGCCCGCCTCGGCCTCCCAAAGTGCTGGGATTACAGGCATGAGCCACCGCACCCGGCCAGTAGATACTTTTCTTATGCCCAATTTAGAGATGAGGACATTGAGGCTTGGACAGGTGATGTGACCTACCCCAGACCACACAGCTAGGAGGAGGTAGAGCCAGGAACCAATCCTTACCCTGGGAACCCTTACAAAGGGTTCTTCTCAGGTGTCTCAATGATCAGGATGGTGGTTCTTAACATAACGTCTTACCCACTATCCTGGATTGGCACCATGGAAGAATACTCTGGGCCGGGCGCGGTGGCTCAAGCCTGTAATCCCAGCACTTTGGGAGGCCAAGACGGGCGGATCACGAAGTCAGGAGTTCGAGACCATCCTGGCTAACACGGTGAAACCCCGTCTCTACTAAATAATACAAAAAACTAGCCGGGTGAGGTGGCGGGCGCCTGTAGTCCCAGCTACTCGGGAGGCTGAGGCAGGAGAATGGCGTAAAAACCCGGGAGGCGGAGCTTGCAGTGAGCTGAGATCCGGCCACTGCACTCCACCCTGGGCGACACAGCGGGACTCCGTCTCAAAAAAAAAAAAAAAAAAGAATACTCTGGGAAATTTCTTTTTGAAATACAGGTTTTATGAAAACACACACACACACATACACACACACACACACACACAAATTTTGAACTGTGTTTAATGAAATGCCTGCCAAAGTATGCAAAGGGGCAGTGGATGGATGTCTCTTACTTTGGATGCAACTTACTTTGAAATGCAACAAGAAATAAGGTGGGTGGATGGGTGGACAGAGGGAAGGACAGGTGGCTACAGCTGAGATAAGGCAACTAGAGTCAGCTGTTCATTGTGGAATCCGCATGGTGGGTGATTGGTGTTCACTGCACAGTTCTTTCAATAACGCAACATCTGGGAAGAACTGTAGGTCCCAGGGCCGCAGCACAGCCTTCCAGCATTGGTATATCTGGGGGTGGGACCCTAGAATGATTCTGGGGCCCAGCCCTCCCCCACTCAGTGACAAGCAAACTTCCTGCTGTCTCACTCACAGAGTATCACCAGGTCATGTGAAAGCCGATGCATCTTGGCCTCAAGAGGTGCCCTTTTTTGTCCACTTCACGCAGGCCCAGGGCTGGGCTCCAGGGAGCGTGGCTAGAATAGGGTAAAGTCACACCTCAGTGCCTGATGACTGACACTCCCGGGCCTCTGCACCGATGGTGATGTCTGCTGTCCACGGCACACTGGTGTGAACAGAATGTTTGTGTTCACACCCCCCATTGCCACAGAGGGCAATGTTTGTGCCCTCTCCCCCCAAATTCCTATGTTCCACTGTATATGGTTAACTATAATTTATTGCATAGTCTCAAAAAACTAGAAGAGACTGGATGTGGTGGCTCATGCCTGTAATCCCAGCACTTTGGGAGGCCAAGGTGGGCAGGAGTGACCTCAGGAGTTTAAGACCAGCCTGGCAAACATGGTGAAACCCCATCTCTACTAAAAATACAAAAGTTAGCTGGGCGTGGTGGTGGGTACCTGTGATCCCAGCTACTCAGGAGGCTTGGGCAGGAGAATCGCTTGAACCTGGGAGGCGGAGGCTGCAGTGAGCCAAGATTGTGCTCCTGCACTCCAGTCTGGGCGACAAGAGCAACACTCTGTCTCAAAAAAAAAAAAAAAAAAAAAAGGAAAAAATATAAGAAGAAAATTTTAAAAAGGGAAAGAAAAAGAAAGTTAATTCCCAATGTGAAAGTGTTAGGAGGTAAGTCTTTTGTGAGGTGGTTAAGTCTCATGAATAAGGGTGGAGCCCTCATGAATGGGATTAGTGTCCTTTTTTTTTTTTTTTTTTTTTTTTGAGACAGAGTCTCGCTTAGTCGCCCAGGCTGGAGTGCAGTGGCGCGATCTCGGCTCACTGCAAGCTCCGCCTCCCGGGTTCACGCCATTCTCCTGCCTCAGCCTCCCGAGTAGCTGGGACTACAGGCGCCCGCCGCCTCGCCCGGCTAATTTTTTGCATTTTTAGTAGAGACGGGGTTTCACAGTGTTAGCCAGGATGGTCTCGATCTCCTGACCTTGTGATCCGCCCGCCTCGGCCTCCCAAAGTGCTGGGATTACAGGCGTGAGCCACCGCGCCCGGCCTAGTGTCCTTTTAAGAGGGGTCCCCGGAGAGCTCTTTTACCCCTTCCACCTTGTGAAGACACAGTGAGCCAGAATTTGAGTCCTTACCAGACCCTGAATCTCCCAGTGCCTTGATCTTGGACTTCCCACCTCCAGAACTATGAGCAGCCTGGGCACAGTGGCTCACACCTGTAATCCCAGCACTTTGGGAGGCTGAGGTGGGAAGATCATATGAGCCCAGGAGGTAGAGACTGCAGTGAGCTGTGACTGCACCACTGCACTACAGCCTAGGCAACAGAGCAAGACCCCCATCTCAAAAAGAAATTACGAGCAATACATTTCTGTTGTAAGTTACCTAGTCTATGGTATTTTGTTTTAAAGCCTAAACTGACTGTTACACATTTCCAGCTCTCTGGAGGAGGCTTTAAGCACAACCTACATCTTGCATATGATAATAACAGTAATGCTTCCTCTACTACTATAGGCCAAGCACGCTGCTAGCCGCTATGGTATATTCCAGCTCATTTCATCCAAAAATCCCTGCCAGAGACCTACTTCTGCCCTAACCCTAACCCTTTATAGGAGAAAAATAAACTGAGGCTCAAAAAGGCACTAAGCCTACAATAATCAAACCTGTGTGGGTACTGACATAAGAAAAGACATATATAGGCCAGGCGCGGTGGCTCAAGCCTGTAATCCCAGCACTTTGGGAGGCCGAGACAGGCGGATCACGAGGTCAAGAGATCGAGACCATCCTGCCTAACACGGTGAAACCCCGTCTCTGCTAAAAAATACAAAAAACTAGCTGGGCGAGGTGGCGGGCGCCTGTAGTCCCAGCTACTCGGGAGGCTGAGGCAGGAGAATGGCGTAAAGCCGGGAGGCGGAGCTTGCAGTGAGCTGAGATCCGGCCACTGCACTCCAGCCTGGGTGACAGAGCGAGATTCCATCTCAAAAAAAAAAAAAAAAAAAAAAGTTATAGAAAGGCACGTACATACCCAGAACAGAATCCCATCTCCACGCAAATGACAACGTGTCACAGGTGGTGGCCCAGCTGGAAAACACTTGTTTCCTCTTCAGGGACTTCAGTCAAGAAAGCCCAGTAGTACCTAAGTTAACTACCAAGGAGAAGAGGGAGTGGAGAATGACTGCTTAATGGATACAGAGTTTCCTTTGGGAACGATGAAAATGTTTTCCAACTAAAGAGAGGTGGCAGTTGCACAACGCTGGAAATGTACTAAACACCACTGAATTGTTCATTTCAAATTCGTAAATGTTATGTTATGTGAGTTTCACTTCCACTTATTAAAAATGGGTTCCAGACCAGGCTCACGCCTATAATCCCAACATTTTGGGAGGCCAAAGCGGGAGGATCGCTTGAGCCCAGCAGTTCAAGACCAGGCTGGGTAACAGAGGGAGACCCCCGTCTCTACAAAAAATTAACAAATTAGCTGGGCATGGTGGTGTGTGCCTGTAGTCCCAGCTACTCCGAAGGCTGAGGTGGTAGGATCACTTGAGTCTAGGAAGTTGAGGCTGCAGTGAGCTGTGATGGTGCAATTGCACTGCAGCTTGGATGACAGAGCAAGACCCTGTCTCTAAACAAAGTAAGTAAATAAGAAAGGTTCGATCCCCACCTCCATCCCCCCACCCCCCATCCCCCCACCCCACCCCCATCAAAATAGTATCCAGGGGTAACTGTGCCCTAAATCCACCCCCAGGCAATTCAGGCCCTTGGAGAGGTTAAATAACTTACTCAAGGTCACACAGCCAGGAAGAGGTTGGCGCTGAAATCAGCCTGCCTTCAAAGCTCCAGTTCTTTCTACTGCAGACAGGGAAGAAAATGGGGTAAATGTTGCCCACGCCTTTCTCTCCAGGGAATTCCTCAGGGACTCCTTCCCCCTGGAGCAGTGTGACTTTATTTACATAAAAACTCTTCCAGGGACATCAACAAGAAATGCAGACCAGTACCAGTATACTGTTGTACCCGTAACAGACCCTTTTGCTCAAAATAACCACAATTCTGTGAAAGTGGAAGTGTTCTAGAAAATCGAGACGAAGCATCACTCCACGTGTTTGCACAGAAAGAAACAAACCTTCTCAGAAGTGCACTGAATCCAAACGCCTGACTTCACAGGGAAGGAAGGAAAAGCGGGGGACATGAGACATTGAAATGCACCCCCAGGGCAGCAGGGACATTTTTTTGAGTGAGTTTGGGATGGGGTTAGGTGGGAGGCAGGGGGACAGACAAAATAAACACCTGCCAAAGCCCCAAAGCAGTTTCTCCAACCCAGAATGCCCTGACCACCAGTGGGGGTAGTTTCCCAACTGTCCTGGTAAGAGGTTTTCTGGGGGGCCTGACCCTCATTCGAAGTTCACTGAAGCATACAGCACCCCTGCATCGGAGATTACTTCTGAGGGACTCAAACCTCAGCCTTGCAAAACAGCAACACTTGAGTGAACCCAGCTGGAGATAAAGGAAGTGTGAGTCAGCCCAAGAATTTCTTTTAAAAGGCCGAGTGAAGGAGGCCACAGCTGCTGGACTGGGAGACAGAATTTGCATGAGGCTGGGGCTGGGCTCTGGGCGTCAACCCACAGATGTCCTCAGGGATCTGTGAGCAGAGAGGCCTGGCTGCAAAGGGTCTGGAGGACAGCCCTTCTGCTAAGGTGTCTGCTCCCAGGGCAGAGGGCATGGGGGAGCTGGAGGAAGCTGGGCTCCAGGAGGGGTGGCCAGGTAAGTCCTTGGGCCAGTAAGGAAGAAGTCCAACTGTGTACAAATATTACCTCTGAGCCACACCACTACCCTGCCAGGAGGTTTAATGTGGTCCCATTTTACAGAGGGGAAGACTGAGTCTGATTTCTTCACTCAACAAGTGCTCATTGAATGCCTGGGATGCAGCAGTGAACAAAACCAACAAATAATTGCTTTTATAGAGTTTATAATCTGGTGAAGGATGAGGAGAGAACAAGAGACAGTTTCGGGTGCTGAGCACATGCGGATGAAGAAAATAAACCAGGAGGGATGGGGAGAGGGGCTTATCTGCGCAGGCACCCTCAGCTGAGACCTGAATGACGAGAAGGGGCTGGTGGCCTGGGAAGGGCACTCCCACAGAGGGAATGACGAATGCTAAGGCCCTGAAGCAGGAGTGACCTTGTGTGTATGAGGAACAGAAAGGCCAGTATGGGTGCACAGTGATGGGGGAGCAGTCAGTGATGCGGTCAAGAGGTCAGTGAGGCAAGATCAGGTAGAGACTCACAGACCACTTAAAGGAATTTGGATTTTGTTCTAAATGCATCAGGAATGCGCATTTTCGGGGTGGCGGGGGCGGGGGTGTGGGGAGACAGAGAGGAGTCTGGGTGCAGTGGCTCATGTCTGTAATCTCAGCACTTTAGGAGGCCAAAGTGGGAGGATCACTTGCGGTCAGGAGATCGAGACCAGCCTGGCCAACATGGCAAAACCCCGTCTCTACTAAAAATACAAAAATTAGTCGGGCGTGGTGGTGAGTGGCCTATAATCCCATCTACTTGACAGGGTGGGGCAGGAGAATCACTTGAACCCGGGAGGTGTTTGCACTCCAGCCTGGGCAACAGAGGAAGATTCCATCTCAATAAATAAATAAATAAATAAAAGAGAGAAAGAGAGAAAAAGAGAGAGACATGATGAGATTTTCGTTTTCAGTAGACGCCCCTGGCTGCTACATGGAGACTGGGTTGTGGGGGCAGAGGAGTGGAGAGACTAGCCAGGAAGCTGCAGCTGTGGTTTCACTCTACTCCTCACAGCCTGATGAGGGGAGACAAAGACAGAAGTCAAGGATGGACTTGGTTTGGGGCTTGAACGACTGGGTCCATGCAGGTGTCCTTGCCCGAGACAAGGATAGTTTGAGCCAGGGCACCCAGCCGGAGCTTTCCCCCGTGCCGCCCACCCCACAGAAGGCCCGGAGTGTTCATGCCGGCATCAAGGACCTCCACGCCCCTCCCTCCTCTTGCCTCTCCATTTTGACCTCACACTGCTCCCCGCAGCCAAAGAGCTCTTCCCCTTCTCTCCTGACATGCCTATGCTCGGTCCTAGCTCCAGACCTTTGCTCAGCCTGCTCCTGCCTGAGGGCCCTTCCTCCTTCCTCCTCCCTTGGCCTGAGCGGAGGCCTGAGAAAGGCTTTACAGAGCAGTGGCCCTCAAGCTAGCACCTGCCTGGATTTGAATTCCAGTGCGACCACCTCCTAGCACGTGATCCTAAGCACCTTCCTTAACAGGACTTAATTTCTTCATCTGCCAAATAAGAGTGAAAACGTAAGTGCTGACCATGTGGGGGTAGCTGCAGGATTAAAGAAGCAGCACTCATTCGTTTCACTCTGGGAACAAGAGAAATGTCAACCATGGTTAGCCAGTGTTATTTCAGGCACAGAAATGGCCTGAGGGGCTGGGCACGGGGGCCCACGCCTGTAATCCCAGCACTTTGGGAGGCTGAGGCGGGAGGATTACTAGAGCTCAGGAATTCGAGACCAGCCTGGGCAACATAGGGAAACCCTGTTTCTAGAAAAAAATTTAAAAATTAGCCAGGTGTGGTGGTGCACACCTGTGGTCCCAGCTACTCTGGAGGCTGAGGTAGGAGAATCACTTGAGCCTGAGAGATCGAAGCTGCAGTAAGTGGTGACTGCACCACTGCACTCCACCTGGGCAACAGAGCAAGACCCTGTCTCAAAAAATAAAATATAAAATATAAAATTTTTAAAAGCATGGGGAAGCAACCGCTCTTTACTATCTCATATGGCTACATGCAAAGTGAAAAGGCTCTGGCCCACCGGGAGGGCTGTCTCCTTCATGGCCAAGTCTCCAGAGCCTCCCAGTGTCTACCCACTGGACAGAGGAATGGCCACAAGCACGCAATCATCCCTGCCCCCTGCAAGGACTTCCTACTCAGCTTTTACAGGACGGGACCCGAAGCCCAGAGTGACACTGTGGATACGCCATGGGTGGTTCCTTCCCAAGTCTTTCTGGCCAGCAGGGTCCTGGTGACACCTGAGATTCTGGGTAGAGACTCATGTTTTGCGTGAAATGCAACAGGGACTCTTTGGAGGGTTTTAAGAGAGACAGAGGAGAGGCATGATCTGATTTTCACTTTCAGTACAATGAAGGTGAACCCACATTTCCCAGGGCAGGTCTACCCTGGCCAGTCCTAGTAATGTCACTTCCCTCAGACTCCCATGGGTGGCTTCAGGCCAAAAATGCCAGGGATGGTGGGGCCTGTGGCCGGCTGGGGACCGGGTGTCCTGCTTTCACCTACATCCCCTCTACACCCTTGCAGCCAGAGGCTTGAAAGGGGGAAGCCATAGGTCAGACCAAGCCTAGGCTGTGGTGCCCACCGCCACTGCTGTGGGATGTCTGCTGGAAAATGAGACCATGAGGTTTACAGGAATTGGAACCTCTGACTAGCACTGAATGTGAAAGCAAGACTCACACGCATGCACACTTAGGCAGATGCAGACACAAGCAGACACACAGAGCAGACACAAGCAGCACATTCGCTTACATACACATAAGCATATATACATGCATATACACACACATGCATGTGCATGACTGCATACACAGGTGTGCATACACTCCTCCACTCATGCAGACACTCTGAGGCGCAGGCACACAGACGCAAAGGCTCCCAGACCCCTCTCACGTGGTCTGCCCACTTACAGCTGTAGGCTTGCTCTCCCTAGACCTGGGGCCCACAGACATTCCCAGCTCCTGCCTAGAGATACACCCACTTTCCACCAGTGGAAACACACACACTCACACACACCCAAAAGCCCAGGCCCATGGCCTCCAAGCAGCACTGCACACACAACACAGCTGCTTGTACATGGGCACCATCTCACAAGCCTGCCAGACCACACAGCTGTGCACACATGCACACGAGTGCACACCAACATCCCTTGTCTTTCTCTCTCTCTCTCAGAGTTCACAGAGGTCAGCCTCAGAAACAGAGAACACCTGGCTCAGCCCACTTTGACTGCAGCCAGTGGCACTTTCTGGGCCCCTTGCTGCCCCAGCCTTACCCGGCATCAAAGTCCACACTCCTGGATTCCACTGAAGTGTGCCCTCGGCCAGGAACACCCTTCTGCCTGCTCTTCCC